ACAAAACCCCACAGGTAGAACAGCTAGAGAGCAAGGTTTTGGAGCCACATTCTTATTCTGGTGTATCTCTACATCAAGCCTCGATGTGAACTTATATTATTCGTGCATCTCACAAAATTCCCCTCACTTGGGGAAAGGTGTTTTCAGAACTATCACCCTTTTTTCTTCCTTCAGTTGGAATATTGCAAGCGTGATGACAGTACCGAGTTACAGCCATATCTGAGAAGAGTAGTAAAATTCCTTTCACCTCACTGCAAAAGGGGAACGTGTTTTATGTGACAAGATGTGTGACTACGGTGTAAACAGCAAACTCTGTATGCTTGAGTAACTTAATTGTTTGATTTGGGTCTTCTGAAATTTGAAATGAGCTATACAAAAGTTGTGTACAGTGCGAGTAAAACACGGGGAACTAACTCTTCACTTGGGCAAAACTCCAGGAGTTAAGCCAAGAACACCATTAAATACCTATTCAAACATAAATGTAGCTAAACGGGTCCCTAATATTATGAGAGTCTCAACTCGGAACACAGACACAACCTTAGGATTCAGCTCAACCAACCTAAAGTAACAAGGTTCATCAGAAGTATTTTACAACCTCGGAAAAAAAAAATAGTTATTAACCACCTGTGTTACTCAGAGTGGGTAAAGAGCCTTTTTCTCTTGGGGGTCCAAAGAGTTCAGGTGCTGTTTAGCTATAAAATGCATACCACATGGGGAGAGGGTGCTTGCTATGCATTGAGTGTCTCCAGCTGCTCCCATCAAGGGTACAGGACAGGATCATCTTCTGCCCCTGCAGGGATTGCTGTATTTGCGACTGCATCAGAAAAGGGCAGCAATAATCATCCAAGGTGAAAAACTAAAGAAAAGTATAGATGCATCATCCGCATCTGGGTTGGTTAGTGTTGTAATTGTTAACCAAGGGCCTAAAGTTCATTTTCTGAGTTTCACAGGCCTCTGGTCGGTCACAGATCAGCATTTAGTGGCAAGGTTAACCTGGAAAATGTCAAGACAGCAAAAAGCTCGCTGCATAGAAGTATTTCATGCTGATACATGAGGCAGCTTGTAAGCAGGCCAGGTTATAAAGCTTCAAAAAGTTTTTCTCTTTTCCAAAATAAACAATCCCCAAACTTGAAGTGCTACAGGCTACAAAGGAAACTGGCCAGGTTGTTTGTAACATACTGCAGGAATTCTGCTTAGGGCAAATCAGCTGCAAAGCAAACGAAAGCCGAGCTCCGAAGATGAGGCGGTTTCTGTCTTTGAATGGGAACCTGCTACAGTCTGACAGGGAACAGATCCAAGATCTCCTCTTACCTTGGTAAGGAATAACAATGCTCCTCCCTGTTATACAGCACTTCTATAACCGTAAAACTGTGAAAAGCATCCGTAACAAGGGGGTTTAAAGGAAACTGGGGTGCTAAGTGTCTGTACAGACTTGCGGTACTTACACAGCAAGCCTAAGGCAGATCTGGAGCACCACAGCAATCCAGTGAGCTATTCCCTGCAGGTCTGAAGAAGTCGGATACACCGGATACAGCGGGTTCAGAACGTGCGGGATGCAAGCGCCACAGCAAACCCATCACGCTACACCCGCGGCTGCAAGAAAAACATCTGTCCAGCAAACACCCATTAGCACTATGCCTGGCTCACCATTACCAAAACTTGACACATTTTAACACCTTTAAAAGCTAGTTTTAAGGCTTACTCACTAAGGCCTCTGTCTTTTGTAGAGACTGAATACAACTGAAGATTTCGTAACCCTGCAGAAGCTGTTCCCTGCACTGTTCGGTCCTGCTGCTCCCAGTGCCCCGCAGCCTTTTCGCTGTCAGCTCTGCCACACAATCCTTTAGGAGGCAAGAGACCAAAAAGAAAGCTGAAGGACTGACTGATCTTAAAGTAATCCAAATCATACATTCCCTTTGTTGCCCAGGCACTCAGTGTATCTTCATAAAATAATTTCTAACGCACATTATATATAATTTGCTTCAAAGCTTTCAACTTTTGGCCATTTTTTTTTCTCTTGCATTATAAAACACTGGTAGCTTTAGACATGGCACTTCTCGTATTCTTGTAACAGATTCTCAATAGCTATAGAAATTTATCCCACATATGACCCTGAAGTCTTATTTAGGATGATCTCTTCTCTAGGTTGCAGGGGTCTTAGAATTTCATGGGCCATTTAATCTTTAGCCTTCACCAGAACTATTTAGGCTGCTGGTGAATTAGAAATATAGACCTTATGGAACTGAAACAAATTTAATGGTAAAGCATTAGAAACTTTCACACAGGCCACTGAACAGCCAAGAGACAACTTACAGTACCTACTTACCTTAGAAACAGGAACAAAAAATCTGAAGAGCTTATTTTATTTTATTAGCAGTCCAGCTTCTTTCAGGCAATAGCTCTTCCAAAGTGTTGCTCTGCCACCAGCTCCCGTGCTCTGTTACTCCAGGGTTTATTTTGGGACCTGGGAAAATCAATCTTAAGGCCTATGTGAATGGTGGAGTCTCATGTATCACGGACAATTACAGCAATTGCTACCGATCTGGAGAGATGAGACGAGTATCTGATTCAGCTCTACATCTTTTCCTCAAGCTCTGGAAAACAGTGCTGTTAGGGGAGGTAGATGGTAAGCGTGGTAAGAGAAGGGGCACAACAGCACATTTTGAATATCTACAGGAACATGTCTCCCAAAAAGGCCACCCAAAGGATATGTGCTTTTTTTGAAAGCTTTTATGCTCCCTTACTTAATGCCTCAAGAACTGTTTTGGTTGTTAATTAATAATAAATACAGCCTTTTCTATTTCAAAATGTATTTCAATTCAGATCTGCACTCACCTCTGACCTCTAAAACATTGGATTTCTTATTTTTATTAGTAATGGTTTGCTTGAGAAGGCAAAAGCACAAAGGTAAAGCTAGAGAAATTTGTACATACAATAAACAAGTCAACCACGCTGATGTACTCTGCAGGTTTCTCTACCTCCCAATTAATCCAGGCTCCACAGTGGTAATAGGGATTTAGTTTTCACAGAAAAAAAGATAAATACTTATAATTCATGGGGAATATTGGAAAGCCCTCTTTTCCACTACTTTCTTCCTAATTTATATATGAATTCTTTATTATAAATCTTCCAGTCCTGGTTTAAAGTTAAGAAATCACCAGTAGGGAGGGGGAGAGCACACAGGTGACAAAGCAAGCACAAATGTTCTCAAGAGACTACATCTCCTCCAGTTTATGAATCCCAAATCACGTTGTTACACAATACATTGCCTTTTCTCAATATATCCTTCTCAACATATTACTCAAGACTCCAAGTTGGGAGTCTACATGGAAGCATTCCACAAAGGTGAAGCATGTATTTTCCATTTGGCGGTTTAACACTATAATAAATCAGTAAGAAACAAGAGTAGCTATTAAAAACTGTATCCCCCCCTGCGCCCAGTTACATTTTAGTGAAAACATTAAGCCACATAAACACTTCACTTCTCTCCTTGAAAAGATTTAACAGCTCAGAAATGCCATAGATATGCATGGAGGATGCTTGACAATGACAGGCCACCACAATCCAGCCCACTCGTTCCAGCCAGCAGCCAGAAACACACATATCCCCTTAAATTAACCCTTTAAGGGCTGCCCCCCTTTGCACCAAAGTTAAAATAATGCCTCTTAGGCAACCAGGTCAAAATTTAAAGAATCTTTTGGGCTCATTCGTGGTTTATTTTAACACAGAAGTTTCTTATCTGGCCCCAACAAACAGGGGTAAAAGATTTACTTTCACATCGAACTTTACAAAGCTGCAACTGAATCAAAAGGATGTTTTTCATAAATAGATGTACAGTTGTTCTCATGACACAGTATTTATTTGCTCAAGGTAACTTCCCTCCTTGTGCTCACGTTCTTCCCTCCCGTTCTTCCTTTTGCATACATTCCATGGTTTCTCTCAAGCTTCTTCCCCATTTTGAGACCGTAACAGCATCCTTTCATCATAATTTCTTGCCATGAAAATGGCCATGTCGTCACAGTCAAATTCTGGAATTGTTACTTCAAATAATTAACAACCACATGAAAGGAACCAGGAACAGGTGAATGGAGTTCTGCTTTAATAGATTTTGAAACATCTTAAAGTCAGTGCAACCCACCGGAAAATCTAGAAGTATTGTAATGACGACCTGCACATACGAGAGAAAACGAAGTGCTAGGTTTTCAGCAGCAGTGCAAGAAATTTTATGTGCAGATTCCTGAACAGACAGTGCACTTTGGGAATGTCATTGCAGGTTTTTCAGTTTGTAAATGTGCGTGTGTGTTTTAAAGCCCTGCAACTACTAAGAGGGTAAACCTGTGCCACCTGTATACTCACTATGGGACAGCTTAACGCAGTGCTACCGCCTTTTGGAATAGTGCCTAAAGAAAATGGTATTATCTTAGGATCCAGATAATTTCCGTATCACCAAACGGTTGCAAGGAGCCAAACCACATACAATTTTTCAAGTGACTAGAAACTTAGTTTATTAAAGCCCAGTGCAAATTGGATTTAAGTTAATGATCATTAATTTTAACTTATGTGAGAGCTAGTCTTGTGCAGCAATTAAAGGGTTAAAGTGGAACTATATGTAGTATTTTAAGCAAGTTCACATATTCTTTATACAAATTTGGCAAATTCATGTCACAGCCATAGACCTCTTTCTTGCAATTCCTGCAAAATATCTACAGCTCCTCTGTCAGAAGCAAAGAGAGAAGCCACCTGAAGAGCCAGGTCTACCAGGAGTGCATAGTACGGCCCAACAGTAGCACAGAACGGCTGGCCAGCTCCATGTCCCAGCTTAGACAGGCAGACTTACTGAACTAAATATGCTTTCGACACGTGCTCCCAAAAGAGCTTGAGGCCACAGAGCAGATGGGTATGGAAAAACTGATTGCATCAGAAACACTGCAGCCAATAGGAAATCAAACCCATGGTTTCAAAGCCAATCAAAAACCAAAACAAACCCAAAAAAGCAAGCATTTATACGTGTGTAGATGTAATAAATATTGCAAAGCACGTTCGTTTTTTTCCCCCAAGTCAGTAAGTATAAAGAAATAACCAATGCACCAAAACATCACCTTTCTGCAATGAAAATGTTGAAGTCAGCAAAATACCTGCAAGCCAACTGAAGAGAAAGCATTCGCATTGTCAACCAATCACAAGTTGCTTCCAGTTCTATGCAGCCAAATCAAACCCTCTTCAAATTCTTAAGTTTGACCTAAATAAGCACCACAGCATGAAAAGCTTCTTTAGAAGTAGGATGTCAAGAGACTTTCTTTAAAATACAAAATAAAATGCAAGACAAAAGGTTTTCATTGGTCAAGTTTGAAAAGTTGTCTTCCTTTAGCCAATCACAGCCTGTCCCTTTGCGCCAATCAAAAATACACCTTTAGGTTTGTCCTTAATTAACACAGCCCAGCTGAGTAGCAACAACTTAGAGGATTAGGTGGCTGTGAGGTGCATTCTGAGGGTTGGGCAAAGGGAAATAAAATTACAAAGGAGAAGGAACACCAAAGAACAATTAGGGTGGGCAAAGGAACTTATTAATGCTCAGCCATCCTCCTCTATCTTCAGGAATCTCACTGTCCTCTCCAGTTCTGTGTTGTTCAGGTATCCTGTAGTTACTGTCTTCTGTCTTCTGTCTCTGATCTGGAAAATGCCATCACAACGTCCTCAGCACCTGTAATAACAATGGATACAGGAAAATGCGTGCCATAATTACTTCCTTTAAAGAACAACGGAGAGATGCAGTACCCAATCTGTCGTTCTACACATCCATAAAATCAGTAAGAAAGGAAAAAGAGGACTGAAAGAAGAGAAAGCTGTGTTTTTTTATTTTTCTGGGACTGCAACCTAAGTGGTCCAAACACTTCAACAGTAGATTTAAAACAGTCCTTTGCAAGCCTAAGGAAATCAGTTTGTTTTGAAAGAAAACCAAGAACTCCTTGCTTTCACATATTTCTAAGCAGCAACATTTAGAAAAATAAAGTTCATAGGACTGTCACCACAGGCGTGTAGAGATAATCTTTTTTTTTCCCCCTTGTAAACTCTGGCAGTGCATAAGAGACTTATTGAGCTTCTCTGAAACACGAGGAACTCAACTGTTCAATAAAACTTGTACTGCCCTACGCATCACACCGTCCTTTTTAAGTGACATTTAGATATTCTTTATCTTTACATCTAGATACTCATTATTCTTTGCTTTTAGAAATAAAAATTGTTTCAATAGGCCAGCTGAAACGTTTTTGCCCCCCTCCCCCAATCACTTAAACACCCTTTATAAACTAACGTATTTTGAAAACGTCCTATTCTCTAATGGAAGTGCAGTATTTTCTTTCAAACTGAAAGCTTGCATTTGCCCAACAGCTTTGCTAAGTAATGCTTTTATCCCTAGCCTGGAGAAGTCTTTTCCAGAATTCAGTGTGTGGACTTTCTCAGTTATTGGATTTCCACCCCCCGCCGCCCCCCAATTGAGGCTATCAACTGTGTCTAATTAACGTCAAAACTCATGTCCCCAAAGCACAGAAAGATGTCATTACCTTCCTATAGTCATCTCCAAGTCTTTGCAAACGCTTTCAAGTGGGCATTTATCGTAGAAAGACCTGAATGGCGTGAGAATCTTGTCTGATAAAGGCTTGTAAAGAACATTCCATGCTAAGCTCTCATTCTTCAAAAAGACACCTTGAGATCTCCAGAAGAGAAAATCCACCCTCTGGACTTCCTAAATATAGAGCATGGCCTAACAGGCACTTAAAGAGAAATGTCTCCAGGACAATATGGAAATAAAAATACATCATACACTAGTGTCAAAGCAGCGGTTTAAATCAATATCTCTAGTCTAGACAAGAACTGGAAAACAACCCTGAAGGGCTGAGTGCAATATTTTTAATTTCTGGTAAAAATCTGATCCCCAAGAAAGTCAGATAAAAGTAAATGCTTTCTTTCATCTGTAGCTCCTCTAACAGCATTTATCTAACTGATTAGAAAATACGATGAATCCTCCAGTCATTGTCCATAGAATTTCTAAAAACAATTTCCTCCATTCAAATGATCCTGAGTGTTTAAATGCAACAGATGACTCAATGACTATTTTGGCCTCCATCAATTAATTATGCTTGGCATAATTTCGCTTAATAAAAGTTTTTCTTCAAAGCTTCTATTAAAGGATTAGACAACAAAGTAGGAAATGCCAAAAGCAACACCTACTGCCTGTCCCATTCAGGTAACTGATCAGCTCCACAGAATTCTCCTACTGGTGTTTGGAAAGTTCAAACTGAACTTTGAATGGAGCATCAGCATGTAAAAATTCTCCAGTCTTTTACCTGAAGCAGTATATCAAGAAGCAGATTTCAGCTTTGTGCCCCAAGCAACTTCTGCCTATACACCTGCATACAAGGTAAAAGAGAAGACTAATAAAAATTCCTCATCTGTTATAAATATATGAATTCCATTTCTCAGTTATCTAATTTGCTCTTTAGTCATAGAAGGAAAAGTGGCCAAAAAACACGGGAGAAAAGATGGTTGTAAATTCCCTTTTCCAATACCTTAAAAACTAAACCAATGCTTATGAAGTGCAACTGCATTTATTTTTATTCACCTCACAATTTGTTATACGCACTCAAAGGAGAAAACATTAAGGACCAAGCAGTAGTTTGTTTTCCATATGTAGGACCCCTGTCTTAAAGAACATCAAAAACTGCTCTGATGCTCCCTCTTGCCAACACTCAGAAGCCCTGCAGTCATCTCCCTTTTCATCTCCTCCACAAACTGGTTTTTTCCTTGATCAAAACATAAATGATATATAGCACTAGCATCCAGCTCTGAATTAACAACTTGCCACGTTGATATTTTTTTTTTTTAAATGCATAAGAACTACCAGCCTCTACAAAAAGAAGGATTTTATTTGCAAGGATTCTGAAAAACACTTCTATACTAACAAGAGGAGAGAGCAATGACACTTAGAGGCATTCAGGACGCAAGCGCACGTGAAGCACAACCTATGCCGCCGTATTTTACACGCATCCCCCTTTAAAGTCAAGGAGGCTTTCCTACGCAAGTCCAGAGCAGCTGGAGTAGCCTAGCAACCGCGAAATCGCAGATGACATCCCATTTGCACAAGAGATGAGCCGGATTACTTAACAGATGTTGACTGTTTTCCTGGGGTCTCCCCTTTCTACAGTTTAATATGAAAGAAACTCTTACAACCACCCTTACAAGTTCCATGCAGAAGGGGAAATCCCATCCCAGATAATCATGCCCCCCCCAAACCAGACAGGTCAGTATTTCCGCCCGTCCCGAACCGCTCCGGCACAGCGTCCTGCGGCGAGCACACAGCCGCGTGAAACACACCATGATGGGCACAAAGGAGGTTGGGAACTCGGCAGCTCATTCTGGCTTTCACAATCAAAATGGCTATCGCCGACGAGCGCCTCACGCTCAGCTCGCTCCTGTTCTCATCTTCTAGGCCCGCCCGGCACAGCTTCGGCACCGGCGGCACTGTCAACACGAACTTCTGGTAACTTGCCATTTGCCGGGACTTCGAATAGGAAGAGAGAAGGGAGTACAAGAAATACAGCTTGCCAATACAACAGGAAAACCGAAAAAGCCGAATTTGAAAACAGTGTTCTATCTGGAGGGAAAAGCAAGAGTACAATTGTGAAAGTGTGGAAAATGCTTGAATGCCTACAGTATTACTGAATTATTATTACGTGCATTCGAAAGAAAGAAGTGGAAGAATGGGGTTAGAATTTAAGGGTTCAGTCTCTCACAGCCAAAGCGAACCACACAGTCGGTGTGCAGTATCCTTGTTTTATCACCAGGTAATTACGATGACTACTGTTTTAAAGTTACCTGAAATCGTGAACAAAGTGCGCGTGGTTTTTTTTTATCATAACAGCATTAAAAAGCATGCTCCCTCTCTGATGTTCTTTATCACTTTATGATACATAGCTTCCCATACGGTACTTTTTAAATTAAGAAGGCAATCGGTACAAGAACCAAGGTGAGTCAACAATTCATTAAGGAAAGATTATGAATTGTGTTTGAAAGGATAATCGTTGGGCTGAAAAGAAGATTAGGACTGCACTTTCTCAATGGTTGGCCTTTGCACTAATTTTACTTCATACTTTCATAAATGATCCTGGAACAGAAAAATAGTCATATACTAATGAAATCTGATGGCAATACAAAGTTAGAAAGTTCTGCCAAAACACCAGGCAGCAGCAAAACAATATACAGGAACAAACAGGATAGCAGCGAAGACCAGAGGTGGCAAAAGGGGTTTAGCTATTCATTTTAGAATGGAAGAAAAACGAAAAGATAAAGAGTAGAAGTGATATATTTCTATGTTTCATGGCACAGTTTTAAACAAGATTAGTAAAGAATGGATTTTATATACAATTGTGAACAATTTTGTTATTTCCTGCTCCCTCCTCAGCTCCTTTCGTTATTTGGCAGAACCGCCGATGTTTTCATTTGCAGGAATTACATGGAATCCAGCATTTGCAAGAGCCTCGGGCAATTGCCTTTAAAAAGACAATTTGATCTATCAAATAGAAGGTATTACCTTCAAGGTACACAAGTAAGTGGGTGGGTAACCCAAGGGCACCATACCCAATAGAACATCTTGCAATAAAGACTCAAGCCTATGCTGATTTCTTTTATTCCCACATTAAACATCCAATTTTATATTTAGTGAGGCGATACATTATTACAAAGAGGAAGACGTCCTTTGCCCAAACAACAGCAGCCCTCTAGAAAGTTCTTGCAGGCTATCACATCTGGCACTAGCCTGAAGTTATGAGTACAGGAGATCATCTACTTCACACCAAAACCAGCAGCTCCCAGACAACATCAGCCCACTCACTTTCAACACACGTATCGCTGCCCTCTGGGTATTGCACCTTATTTTATATTCACTATCAAAAGAGACAGTTCGTTATCCAGCACTTCTCCATTCTTCACGAGCACCATGACTCTTGACTGGGATATAAAAGGCAGTAGTATTTCCCAGATCCGGAACCAGTTTGTTCAGGGGACTTGCAAAAGGGAAGATACCTTCACCTCCATAAGCTGAGTAGTTAGTTATAATATAACAATTCCACAATCTTTTGAAGGGCAGTAAGTCCTCCTGGTTTTAGCTGAGCATTTCAATGATCTGAAAAGAGAATGGAAAACTTCTCTGCTGAACTCGAGTAAGGGTAAGAGCGCAGCATGCAAATGAAAGGGATACTCTCATCAGTGCTTTCACCTTCCAGAAGCCACTTATGGAACATGATTATTTCGGAAGATATCCGGTAGCAAAAGTATATTCTGGGTGACATTTGTCCAGAAAAAGGTCATCCACATTTTTCAGCACAAAAGCAGGTTTTGTTCAAGACCAGTCCTACAACCCAAGCTACCCAGAGCTAAATGAAACCGATCTAACAAGTCTGCTCATTAAGCAATTTTACAGCCGCTTGCGCTCATGTACCAATACAAACATTTCCAGAGAATAGAGCAGGGGTTTCTATGGGGTGAAAGGAAAGCAGGGATTGAAGAACTAGTGAATAGAGCTTCTGCTGCAGTCCCACTTGGCTCCCACAACGGATGTTTTCTTTCCAATCAAGTAAAAAAAGTACAAAAAGGAGAGCACAGGTTATGAAGTTAAGCTGCACAGTGCCAAAAGCCTGCTACTAAGAC